CAGGTGTATAATAAATAAATAAGGTTAAAATAACTCCTTCTATAGATCTAGTAATTTAATACTATAAATACATGAACAAATACACATATCTACAGTCAGATATGTAGATCCTTATGTAGTAGCCATATGCACTCCATTAGCTGCCAATCATGCAGCATGAGATAATAGTAAGGCTTGGAAACGGCCATTATTATATGCAAACATTTTCTAGTAGGTGTGAAAATCTCTGCGGACAATTAGCAATTGTTCTTTTCTAAGAAAATAGTTATTTCCCCGCCTTTCTGTTTCATTTTTCTACTGTGCTGTCAGAGGGATAAATGTCTATGAGACCCAAGACCCATAGCAGGTATTTTCATGTTTGGGGAAGTTGAGATATTCCCCCGTTCTTCGTTCCCATAGGGTCTTTTACCCATTTTTGACCACCCTTAAGGTGCCCATACACATTACGACCATCGCAAGACTTTTGTCTTGCGATGGTCGTATGCTTCTTGAAAGCCGTACAATCTGCCCACCTTGGACGGGCAGATCGTACTTGCGATCATCGAAAGCCCGTCCCGCTGAGGGGCGGGCTTCCGATGACGGCAATGCAGAACGGGCAGTGTGCGCGTGCGCACACCGGCCCGTTCCGCAGCTATCGGGCGAGCAGGCTAGAAACCCGCTGAGAATCGTACGATTCTCGGCGGGTTTTCAAACATGTTGGCTCGACAAAAGACGTGCAACCGTACAGTAGAAACGGTCGCACGTCTTAGTTCACACTGCTCGATTCTCGTACGATTGCGGGATTTCGCCCGATTCTCGTACGAGAATCGAGCAGTGTATGGGCACCTTTAGAGTACAATAAACTGATTCAAGGATTCAAGCAGCTGTTGCAAATAGCAATCCATTTTGAGCAGAATATTGATGGTGAGCACATCAGAGCTTTGAAAGTACTTATTACATCATGCAGAGATTTTCCAGCATGCGGTAATAATCCATAATCTTGTCTGTTTTCTATATAATATACCCTACACTGGGAGTGGACTCATTCTATTTGTTACCTTATCTCTGGACAGTGGTGGATCTGGTGATTTGACTGATGGACCTTAATTCTCACCACCTATTTTTCTTCCATCTATGGTCACCCTTTTTGGAGCTTATCAGTGTTTGGTTTGAAACAAAAAAATACTTATTTTATTGTTTATAATAATATCTGGTGTTTAATCAGGATCCAGGACTGCCAATGGCTAACTGAGAAAATGGGACCACTGTTGCAGTGAGGCAAGGTGTATTAAGTCATAGCTGGCTAAGTGATGACTGAACATCTCAAGCACATAAGAGCAGCGTAGATATTAACAAATTAATATGTGTACGGCAGCCGCTCCTTACTCGCACTTGCTGTGTTTGTCACATGTGTTTCTTGTTAGGGGGAGGGAGCTGAACTGATGCACATGTGTCCAACGGTCATTTAGTCATCAAAGGACACGTGTAAAAAGAAAAGCAGATCTTGGGTTATTCTAGGCTGATTTCCTGTCACTTATGTAGGAGGGGATGCATGTTCAAGTAATACAGACTTGAAATGAGCTATGATAAAAGCTATGAGCTATAGCATTGTACTTATGAACCTAATGTGGATATCCTGTACTGTGTATCCGTTCTTTAATAGCCAGTGCAGGATAGATTTCTAATGGAGTTCTGGTAAACTATTTAGTCGCTTGTTCGGGTGACCCCTCTTGAAAGTAGAAGTTTGGAAGGGATGTCTACCACACATGTAGGGTTACTTTCTCATTGATGGCCCTTAGAATTTCAGTGAGCTACATAGACAAATTACACTTATTTATAAATCAATTTATTCTGCATTATTTTACATAATTGGACAGCAAAATCTTAGGAAATAGTTCAAATGCAAAGACAGCTGTATGTTTGCCATGTCATGTTTGCATAAAAAATCTGATGCTGTCCATTTCCGTTAATATGGCAAAAAAAATGTCATAATCGCTTACTGGGCTAAAATGAGATTTCAAAATTATCTGCAAATAAATAGAAAACAGCTCCGCTATGTGAGCATACATTCCTGAAAATTATATACTAACATTTATAGAGGGCTGATTTACTAAAGCAACACGGGATGTTCATTTAGCAAAGTTCACTTCCTTAATTTTTCCAATTGTGTGCAAGATTAATTTTATTTTCCTTTTCTTTCAAAAATGTTTTATTTTTAAGGATAGTTACAGTTTCAAATTAATGAAATGACAATGAAAACAAATAGCATAACATAGCAGGTCCCATCCAAGCTAAATAACAGAACATAACAATCATCTCATGGTAATAAACATCGAGAGCCAAAGGTCAAACTTGCGTCAAGAGCTGGCACATAACAAATCCCTTTGATCCCACTAGCCCCACAAGCATACAACCCTGGGTCGACCAGAGCAGAATACTCCAGTGTAGCAATGAGAGGGGTAAGGACATTGCTTTAGCAACATTTAATACTCTGGAACAAGATTGGGTATTTAAATTGAACGCAGCTTCAGTTTGCCAAGTGGGCATTCTCTACTCTTGGTTAACCAACCCCATAGTGTGCATCTATTGCTAACTCGCTTTCATGTTTCCAGAGATAGGAAATATATAGCAGGCATGGGTTATTCCTGAGCAGTTCCTTGTGTGGCTGATATAATTTTTTACACAGAACAGCTTCCTGTAAAATGCTTGACATACTGAGAAATGAGCTGGCAATCTACCGGCAGGGGCAACTGTAAATTCCTGGAGTGGACAGGAGGTGCTGGAGGGTTACTGCTTTTCACATTGCTGGTACCCTTTGATCTCAGCAGAGAGCCTGTTGTGTGTATGTAAGCATCCCTGAGAGACTTCATCTGTCTGTTTTTACATCCTTTCACATGTATCACGGCCTTATTTCTGTAAAAACTATTTCATTTTGTGAGTTATCTTCTACAATGAAATAAAATTCTGGCACTCATCAAGCTAATATTACAAAAATGTAAAAACTTGTTGAAGTTACTCTTATCTTATCAATATCTGTGCCGTATATTTATATATTGATGTTTATTTACTACCATGTTGACCTCAATTTGAATGGAATTTGAATTTGTTCCCTCTACCCTCCAACAGTTGCTTTGACATACAGCAGGTCACTAATTAGGACAAATAACATGTTATTTCTGAGTCTGCAAGCGTTAAGATTAAATGAACAATGCACAGCTTAATTCAGCATGAGCATTACCGTTTTGAATAATTATTATTTCCGGTATCCAGATACAGAGCAGTGTCAGGAGCTCTTAATTCTGTTACGAGGTAGAACATTTCACTAGAAGACACCAGAGATGCTCATTGGCCCAATGAAGTTTTAGAAGCAGCAGCATTAATATATGTTGTACAAGACCCTTAGTAGTTGACCCAAATGTCTTAATCCAACATGAGCTATAATAGCCAGGGCCACCTTTAGCTTTCCAGCTGTTGAGCAACTAAAGGTCCCAGCAATCTGAGGCAAAAACTTCTACTAGTTGTAATTTTTGAACAGCCACATGGCCAAAGTAATGTGACCAATTTTATTATCACTTTATAACGACCCCCTCATTCAGTTAAATTCACAAAGCGTTAAACCCAACAGAACTATTAGTTTGAATCCACTTGATACAAATCAGGTGCAGCAAAAATAAATGTACAAAATCTTACAGTACATTTTCTTTAGAAAGGCCTGTCAATCGCCAGCATGCTGCAGAGAAGGACTCTTGCTCTCTGTATGGATGCAGTGGTCTCTTTGGAGAAGTCTGCTAAATCTCTCCAGTGACAGGCCTTTGCAGAGAGACCCCTGCTGCTTCATACAGAAATTCTGGCACAGTTCTTCTCTGCAGCAATCCACCTTGGGACAGGTTTTTCTACTCAGGCTGTGGCTATTTTCTTAAGGAAACAAACTGTGAGACTTTGCACCTTTTGTTTTGATGCACCTGGAATGTATTTCATGGCTTTACCCATGAATTAGATAATGCTTTATGTCTTTTTGGGACATGACTAATCGCCATCATACATGTTGCAATTTATGATCAATATGATTTTTTTTATAATAATTGATTATCAGTCAACGAAAGCACACAGCATTGTTAGGTCTGTTGATCAAGTCGTGTAGTCCTAATCAAATGGTATTGCAATCAGTTTTCCCCAAAACAACACAATAAATGTGTATGATCAAACAGAAATGATACACTTTCAGAATGGCTGAGTGACAAGTCTGTGTCAAAAATATTAATTCTTACCTATGTTAATTGTAGGTATGTTTCCTGTCTTCAATTTCTGACCAATTAATTTTATTTGATCACACTGTTGTGTGATCAAATACTCTGTTAATCAAATACTCATAATGATTCATGTGTGGCCACTATGACATCTGTTTGCATGTAGTGAAAAAAACAACTCACAGCAAATTCTCTAGTTTCATACTATGAAAGGTTTGTAATCTTCTAACTATGCTACAGGCTATACTATATATAGATGATTGTGTTTGCAAGTTATGTGTTTTACTAACTTAGTGATGCACATTCATTAACATAAATATACACACACAAAGACACCCACACACACCTGTTTGTACTGAATTAAATGTTTTTTTTTGTGTTTGCTGGGTTGTTATTCTGTTGTTGGTGCATTGCTTTCCTGTCATTGCCCTGTTTTGTCTGTTTTGATGTGCTGTTGTAGTTGTTGAGTGACTGGGATTTAATGCTATTGTCAGGGACTTGTTGTGGCCAGGATGTTAGAGACCTGTCTCTAAAAGGATTAAGTGAGCTATGTAGAAAGACGGACAGGCTAAATCATGTCTGTATAAACGTCAGCTTAATAACTGCTGGTTCCTTCCTTCAACTGACAGGACATGCTGAAGCTTGTAGTGTCGGCTATGTTGGGGAATAGCAGCTCATTTTCAAAATGTATTTATTTAGATAAAGTCTGGATGTTTTTCCTCTCTAATGTATTGCTTTGTTTTGTACAGGCTGTGTTCTACTGACCCTTCGCAGCAATGAACTACACAGATTTCTCCGCCGCTATGGATTTTTCGGACAGCATCAACTCCAGTGACCTAAACAACAGCTGCCTTTCTGGAGACTGCATTATCCTGGAGTCTTTATCATGCACCACTACTTTAAACAAGAGCGCTCTATTATATACTCTTGCCATTGCCTACATCTTCATCTTTGTAATGGGACTTCTGGCCAATTCTGTTGTAATTTGGCTCAATATTCAGTCCAAGACTACCGGCTATGAGACTCACCTGTACATTTTTAATTTGGCTGTGGCTGACCTCTGTGTTCTTCTAACTCTACCAGTCTGGGTAGTGTCATTAGTGCAGCATAACCAGTGGCCAATGGGTGAGATGACTTGCAAGATTACCCATCTGATCTTTAGCATTAATCTTTACAGCAGCATTTTCTTTCTCACATGTATGAGTGTTGATCGCTACTTATCAGTGTCGATGCGCGGAGCTGTCGGTAAACGCAGAAGGAGGATATTACGCAGAATGGTTTGTGTACTTGTCTGGCTCATTGCATTTGTGGTCTCACTTCCAGACACCTACTATTTAAAAACAGTATCTTCCCCAGACACCAATGAGACCTTCTGCCGCTCCATGTACCCAGAGGAATCTGTCAATGAGTGGCTGCTGGGAATGGAAATTCTTTCCATTGTGTTGGGTTTTGTCATACCTTTTCCAGTTATTGCAGTCTTTTACTGCATGCTGGCTTGGACTCTGTCATCATCCTCTTCCTCCTCCTCCTTAACTTCAGCAGGAGACCAAGAAAGAAGAATCAGTGGAAGGCTAATTGTTTCTTATGTTGTTGTATTTGTGATTTGTTGGTTGCCATACCATGTTATGGTATTGTTGGATGTCTTGACTTTTGTCCAGGTCCTGCCATTAACCTGCGCATTTGATAACTTCCTGTATGCAGGACTTCACATCACACAGTGCTACTCACTCCTTCATTGTTGCATCAATCCAATCTTGTACAGTTTCATCCACAGGAACTACCGCTATGAAATCATGAAGGCCTTCATATTCCGTTACTCTTCAAAGACTGGGCTTACCAAGCTAATTGACTCTTCTAAAGTCTCTGAAGCAGAATATTCCACTGTCGACCAAACCCCAAAGTGAGACATGAGAAAAATGTAACTAGCTAATTCTCTCTCTTACTACAGCACAGACTGAGGTATCTGGGACCAAAGTGGCTCATTCACATTCCTGCCAGGGCTGGCAGAAGCAAGAAGAGTCCATTGCCCATGACTACAGCTTAATTAATATAGCTGGCAGTTCACCAGGATACACTTCCATTACCAAGAGAGCACAAGAAAACTAAAGACAAAGGAGCAATAATGACTGACTAGGGAACTCCTTGTCCATCTCCAAGCATCCGCCACTGAACTGTTCTGTGAATAGGGACATAAATGGCGCTTAAGAGCACTGACATGTGGTCCTGTCTCCCTTGCCTTTCTTATAAAAAGTGCACTGCATGTTTATGATTTCATAACCATAAAATGGTGTAACATATCAGCAACACCCCATATTTTCCCCATGTCTACAAGACACAACACTTCTGTAGAAATAACGCCTACAGCCAATTGTTCATGATAACTGGCAACCTTCCAGCAAATTAGGTATATAAAGCCCACAGGATAAACCGAGCCTAAACATGCCATGTCAGCCACTGCTTTTGTATATATGTAAGATAAAATGTTTCTGTAAAGCACGTATATATATATATTTTTTCTATAGCTTATCGTATTTAAAAGCCATCTTATCTGGCGGGTCTTTGTATTTGAAATTCAAATAGACATTTATATATATATCTATATATGTATTATCTATATTTTTAAATTGTTTATGTTATTTGACAATTGGAAATATACCTTTTTTTATATTTTACTTTGATGGTTTTGCTAGTACACAAAAGCTCTTTTAACCATTAAAAGCTTTGTACAAACCTCTGGTGTTGAAGTGTCGTGATTAAAGGGTGAGAAACAGGAATGGGAGCGTTAAAAAGAACTGGCCTCTTTGGGACAAGTCATTCTTCAGGCCAATGGGCAGTGGTTCGTCTAGAGTGTCTCGGGGAAAAAGACAAATGAGATTGTCATTTAGAGAATAGTTAGCAGCAAGATGTTCAAACAGTAGATAAAGGGAATCTGGAAAGAAATGCTAAAATCTTGAAAGCATGAAATAGATACATGGCGTAAAACTGAACTCCAGGCTGGAAAAAAAAGCCCCTTTCATCCCCCACACGGACAGCACGGACTAAGTCCTCATCTTGGCCTAGGGGTAGAGGAATAATGTAAGTATTCTTTATTCCAGTAGGCTCCCTCCATCTTTGTGACTGGTCTCCCGAAGCAATAGAAACCAGAAATCCCCAGCACTCAGTGGATAGTATTGAAATAATAAACATCCACTTAATCGGACCAGTCGTCATGGGTATTTTGCTATGTGTGACGACTAGTCCGATTAAGTGGACGTTTATTATCTGAATACTATCCACTGAGTGCTGGGGATTCCCACTTTCTATTGTTTGTGTGCACGGCGCCATCCGTGATCATTACTGTGAGCACCACCATTTTAATTTGGGCTGGTAACGCTGTGAGGAGTGCAGAGGGACCTACTGTTTTCTACATTGGTCTCCCGAAGCCTCTTCTATAAGGTGCTCCCAGCCATGGCCACATGCTTGCGTCCACCACATACAGGTCTAGGTAAAGTTGGACTGAGCTCTGTCCAAACATTGACAGTAAAATACTGTTCCTTTAACTTATCTCCGCTGCAAGACCTGTGATGGGAGGGGGCAAAGTAGTATTAAGTCGGGTATACGCGCTTTTATTTTCTTCATTCAACCTGCCGGCTGAATAAAGAAAATAGAATAGATCCCTCTATCAATGCTTACGAGCATTGATTGAGGGATCTCCTGCTGATTCCTTTGTACTCTAAGGCCCCATTCACACATGCGCATTCCGTGAACGGAAAGCCTAAATTTTTGTACAGTTTCTTGTGCGTTTGTGCAGATGAAAACACACACAAACATGAAAACAAAAAACGCAGAACGCATTTTGCGTAAACTACTACATGAGCTTTTTTGCCACGTTTGAGCACAGTCTCCAGCAGCTGCCCATCTTTTAGCTTGATTACCGATGTGTTTGTGGAGAAATACAGAGCTTACTTGCACACCACAAGGGTGGCTTTATAGAACCCCGCAAGGGAAATGAGCCACGATAAAACAGGATATAAGGTCCAATGCTCAGGGGACCAGAGGATTCTGCAAAAACTTTTAAAAATCAAGGAGCAACATCAATTGTAAGGTCACCTTCATATCACTTTAAAGTAAGCGATAATGTCAGGACAAGACATATATGAGATAATAGCTGAATTCCAGGCAAGATTAGAAAACAAATCTTAATCCAGTTATATAAAAAACAAATCCTGAATGTGTTTTAGTTTTTATTATTTTATCAAGAGAGAAATGGATGCTCGAAACCTGCTTGGAATAAACATAGGTCTATAAAAAAAAAGCAGACTTGATGGACCACATAGCATTTTTCTACTCTCACTCTTCTATGTTTCTATGTTTTAGCGTTCTGTAATACACTGCACAGCCAAATTTGTGCTGGTTGTTCTGATTGTTTTTATTATTCCATTCATATTTAGGAAAAGCAAAATTATATATTTGACTTTTCATTTTTAACAGATTTAAGAGCAAAGGAAGTGAGAGTTAACAAAACGTTTAGATGTAATTACATTTTACAACTGGTGTATAGACGGTGTGGATAAACTGATTATTTTTTTTCACTTTTTTTATGGCCTGCACACAAAAATTAATGGAATGGAGATTTATTAAAAAAGATGGGAGTTTTGAATGAGATTTCAACCGTTCTTTCAATTGAATAGGAAAAAAACAGTAATTACACGTGGAATTCCTATTGAATCTGAAATAAATGATACAAAATTGTTATGTGTGTTATGTTTATGAAAACACGCATACACGAAGACGCACGCCTTGACTGGCAGCTTAAGAAACATTGCGGTAAATGGACGAAACTGTGTAAAAATGCGCACGAAAAGGTGTGAACAGGGGCCATTAAAAATCATGGGATTTCTTGTGTTGGGTGTTTAAAAGTGATTTTCCTACTGCTCAAAAACTTCTAGGTGGGAACCAGGCCTAACATTGAGAACATACAGGCCAAAGGAGAGAACACAGACTGACTGGACAGAATTATAAATGCTTTGGCACAGTTGACATGTACTGTATACTTTGTGGCCAAAACAAAATTCAAACACTGCACCACCTTTAGCTTTGATTACGGCACTCAGTCACTGTGGCATTGTTTCAATAAGCTTGTGCAATGTCGCAACATTATGTTGCATTCATTTTTCACCAAGATCTTGTAGTGATGATGGGAGAGTCGACCCCTGCATAAAGTCTTCTTTAGCACATCCCAGAGATTCTCAATGGGGTTAGGGTCTAGACCAGGGGTCAGCAACCTTAAACACTCAAAGAGCCATTTGGACCCGTATCCCACAGAAAAGAAAACACCGGGAGCCACAAAACCCTTTTGACATCTAAAATGAAGATAACACGGCATATATCTTTTTTTACCTTTATGCTTTGTATATCATTTATATAGGTATACGTGGGCTTAGTAACGCTCTGGACTTACCTGAGACCCTTCAGAGCCCACCTGCTGAGCACACCATAGGCTGGGCTGAGCTGGTTGCCAGGGTCCCTTTTCCTGTACCTCCTCCCAACTCCTCTTAACTGCTGCTGCTGGGGCCTGGCCTCCTCCATGCCCTCCCGTGTCACCTCTGCCATGCCGCCCAGGGGCGGATTGACCATTCGGGCAGTCGGGCACGGACCGAGGGCCCGCGGCCATCAGGGGGCCTGTCACTGACCGTCCCCTTGCCGCTACCTCTCTGCTATCTGCACTTCATGGACAGCCAGTTCCCCGGCAATTCATCTTAGTGAATTGGCCAACTATTTGAAAAATAATGTGGAGAAAAAATTTCTGTGACACAAGAATGTCTATACAGGTGGGGCGTGTGGGAGGGACTTGTATATGGGCGGAGCACAAGGGGGCCCCATAATCTTGTATTGCCCGATGCTGCCCCTGGTACAGCTAATACTCATGATGCGGGTGTTCTATCAAAGTTTGTGACTACGTTACAATTTGTGACCGGTGACGCAGGCACACATTTCAATGTAATCCCGCCCAGTTTTTCGGCGGCCGAATGAGTGATTGCCAATAGGTCAAGCATTCCAACGTTTTCTCAGCTGTTCCAGGGCAGATCGGCATCGCAAACCGTATGTGCAGGAGAACCGATCTGCCCTGGAACAGCTGTTCGGTCCTGAAATGTCACTTCTATCCGACTCTGTGAGTGCGATCTCACATTCCACTCCACTCACAAAGTCGGATAGAAGTGACATTTCAGGACCAAACAGCTGTTTCAGGACTGAACACCAGGACAGGGAGCTGCAGCAGAGGGATGAAAGAGCCACATGCGGCTCCGGAGCCGCAGGTTGCTGACCCCTGGTCTAGACTCTGTGGTGTTCAATCCATGTGTGAAAATTATGTCTCATGCTTCCTGAATTACTCTTTCACAATTTGAGCCTGATGAATCCTGGCATTGTCATCTTGGGATATGCCTGTGCCATCAGGGAAGAAAAAAATCCATTGATGGAAAAACCTGGTCATTCAGTATATTCAGGTAGACAGCTGACCTAATTTTTTGGGCACATAATGTTACTGAACCTAGACCTGTTATCCAGTGGAAGGCCCTGACCTATTTTCTTAGCTAAATACAGCTGGTGACTTTTTTTTTTGGCCAAGCAGTGTATTTGAATTATATAGTTAGCTGTTTGTTCGGAGTTTAGCTCTGAAGAATAATTCACCAGCAATCCCTTGCAATGGCTGTGGCAAGCAGATAAAATGGAAGGTTAGGTGCGTTGGTCTCCCCACCAGACTTTTAAAGTGACATAAGGCACTAGTGGGAGAGCCTATAAATCCATGCAAAAATAAAATATCCGTTTTCAGCATGCATGTTTGACCTTTTAGGACTTTTATGTGGATAATACTTGAGGCGTCAACATTTTGGAAAGTACACAAAGGTTTAGGAGGAAACATAGAGGAATTAGAATGACAGAGGAGTGAGTGAAGAATGCATGTCAGCCCTCCCGTGTGAAGGCAAAGGCTTAGCGTGTGTACACTTTATACATATACAGGTTCACACTAAGCTGTGAGAAAACAGACCCTGCCTGTAATGTCTAGTTTCCCTGTGACCTCGAAGCACCTTGCTCATTACTGGACTTGTTAGAACAAGGGCCCTTACTCAGATCTGCTCTCCTGCCCCTCCACCCTAATGAATTCCAGACGGACAGAAGGAGACAGAAAGGGTGGGTATCACACCTCTCCCCCTAGGCACTGAGCGGTGGGTCCTTCAGGGTGACATCAACACAGAGTTTGACAGAGACATTGATTGGGCAAGTTGCAAAGTC